CATGAATCAATTCACATTCAGACATGAATCAATTCACATTTAGACATGAATCAATTCACATTTAGACACGAATCAATTCACATTTAGACATGAATCAATTCACATTTAGACAAGAATCAATTCACATTTAGACATGAATCAATTCACATTTACACACAAATCAGTTCACAATTAGACATGAATCAATTCACATTTAGACACGAATCATTTCACATTTAGACATGAATCAATTCGCATTTAGACATAAATCAGTTCACATTTAGACATGAATCAATTCACATTTAGACATGAATCAATTCACCTTTAGACATGAATCAATTGACATTCAGACATGAATCAGTTCACATTTAGCCATGAATCATGTCACATTAAGATATGAATCAGGTCACATTTAGACATGAATCAGGTGGCATTCAGACATGAACCCACATCAAAGCTAACATCACCATCAACGTGGACCCTCACCAGCATACCCCGAGAACCGATCGACAGAAGATGCCATCTCCTCTGTGGTCCACACTGCTCTTACCCTCTTGGAACAGAAGGACTCCTACGTCATATACTCTTTGTGGACTTCACATCTGCCTTTGACACCATGATTCCCCAGACTCTGATGGACAATCTAATCACATTAGTACCAAGTTCCTCTCAATGCAACTGGGTCCTAGACTTCTTAACCAACAGACCACAATCTGTGAAGATCCATGACTTCTTCTCCTCCACCATAACCATCAGCATGGGTTCCCCCCAGGGTTGTGTGTTGAGCCCCCTCCTGTTCACTCTGCTAACGTATGACTGCGTACCGACCCATCCAGGCTGTCATATTGTAAAGTTTGCAGATGATACAGCGCTGGTGGGATGCATCACAAACAATGATGAGTTCAGCTACAGGCAGGAGGTGGAACACCTGGAGAGCTGGTGCAGGACGAACAACCTTCACGTCAATGTGAAGAAGACGAAGGAGATGGTCGTGGACTTCACAAGGAACAAACACACACCCCTCTGAACATAAGAGGATTTGCAGTGGAAGTGGTCTCCAGCTACAAGCACTTGGGTGTACACCTGAATGACAACCTCAGCTGGAGCAACAACACCACCAGCCTGATCAAGAAAGCTCATCAGAGACTCTACTTCCTCAGGCGGCTGAGATGAGCTGGTCTGGGAAGCTCCTTCTACAGGTGTGCAGTGGAGAGCATCCTGTGCTCCAGCATCAACGTGTGGCATGGAGGCTGCACAGCTGCAGAAAGAAAAGCTTTGCAGAGAGTGGTGAAGGCTGCACAGAAGATGTTGGGAGTCAGCCTCTCCACCGTCACAAACATTTACACCTCCAGATGCAGGAAGAGGGCCACCTGCATCATGAAGGACCCCACTCACCCAGCACACACACTTTTTGCCCCGCTCCCCTCAAGCAGAAGGTTGAGGAGCATTAAGTGTAGAACCCGCAGGCTGAGGAACAGCTTCTACCCCGAGGCTGTTAAGACTCATGAATCTCTAACCAGGAAAAAATACGGTAAAAATTACTGTGGAAAAAAAAAATAAAACTGTGAAAATCACCATAATACCACTCGGTTGTTGATATGTGCTACTGACTATCCATGAAACTGATCTCTTGCTGCTGATTATGTTCATGTTGCTGTGTTCATTAGTCCTCATCTGCTCACACAGACTCATGTTCGTGCTGCTGTTGTTTCGGCTCGTTGTTGTACCATTAGTGCTCAGTGTATTCTTAGTTCATGACTCGGATCTTACTAATGTTTTTCTGTACAATTTGTGTTATTGCTGGATGTAACTGGGACTCTGCGTACATAGTTTCGTCCCACCTCATGTACCACGTGTGGTGTGTATGACAAATGAATCTCTGACTCTGAATCGGGTCCAATTCAGACGGGATTCTGGTCGCCTTTCCTTGACTTGTTTACAGTTTGCCCTTGTTTTTATCCTAATAAACATTTTAAAAGTCTATTATTAAAAGTGTGACAATAAAAAGATAAAATGATTATAAACAGCTCATTTATAATCTTGTTGCCATTGTGGTTTTTTTTACCTTCTCTGGCTCTCGTCTTCAACATGTTTGTTTTAAACAAGTCTTAATTCTACATTTAAGCTACAACTCTTATTTGTGTTATTTTTATATATAAATTACATTTTCTACTTGTGTGCCCACTTAAAAATCGTTTTATGCTCACTAATTTCTGTAGTAGCTGAAAAATGGTAATGAAACAAGCCGGCAGATCCGTCAACTGAAAGATTCCCAGTTTTTCAAGAAGCGTTTTGTTTTGAATTTTAACTTTTATTTTGAAGCTTGGATCTCCTGGCATGTTTACAGAAATCAGCTGTTCGGACAAATCAAGCGGCTGAAGTTCAGTGTGCGGGTGTTTACCCTGCCGCAGTCCCCGGGTCTCAGGCGCTCCAGCAGCCGGACCAGAACCGCTCCATCCCGCAGGGACGCCTGGAGGAAAGCCTCCGGGTCCGAGACGCTTTTCTTCGGGGACTCCAGGACCCCCAGCGTGATGAGCCACGTGACCGTCTGCTCGGCTGCGGTCATGTCCAACCCTCAGGTTATTGTCCTAAAACCGCTGAGACTTGTCCCCAAGTGAGAGTCCCTCTTTGAGACATTTACCCAGACTGAGAGAAGTGAGACACAAAAGGTCCACCCTGCCTCCCTCAGCATCACCTTGGTCTGCTCAGCTTCAGAGTCAAAACACGAGCTGCGTGGAGACGACTTCCTGAACCACTTTTCAAAATAAAAGCCCCAAATTGTTGTTTTATTAAAGTAATATTTGAAGGGACAAGCTGTAGAAGATACCAGTGTGCTGTCAGGTTTTATAAAATTATAATTAGTGATGTCATACGGAGGACACCATTTTATTTACGCTGCATTGCATTCTGGGTAAATGACATAGACAGGTTGCTCCAGGTGGGAGCTCCTTCCTCCGTCAATTTTGGACATTATCTGACGTCCAGCCCTTTAATTAGATCGTGTTGACAGAGAGGTGAATTAAGGAATGAGTCAGCCTGCAGCTGAAGATGATTAAGACTGAATGATGAAGAGGAGGGTCAGACAGAAGAGCTGCTGATGAGAGAGATGATGCTGCAGAGAGCTCCGCTTTTTGTCAGGAGCCGCGCTCACCACAAACATCAGGATCAAGACATGTTCTCAGACAGATTAGCTTCAGCTTTAGCTGGCTAACATTAGCGCCAGCTACAGAGCTAATAAAGTAAACATCACAAGTTGATCGTGGTTCGTCGTTTTGATCCATACATCATGCAAAACGGCAGGACCAATACAGAATATAACTTTATTGTCAAACGGTATAAGTTCCCATACTGTTAAGGAGATCTAAATGAGATTAAGGGACTACAAAAACACTAAGGCAGTTTTTAAGTTAGCTTTAATTAGTTTATGTTTGCAAGTCACTCGATTGTTTATTTAGTTACCCAACAAAGTCCATGCTCAATAATCAAGTTTATTTGTTTATTTAGTTGTTTTAAATTTTATTTTCTGTTAATTTTATTGTATTTTTACAATATAACCCCCTCATCCCTACCTAAGCATACACCTAAAAGTGTATAACTCATAAAAAATAATCTGTGAATTCTCCAAGGATTTTACTTTTAAATAAGCAAAAATCTGTTTGTTTGTTTTTGTAGTTTTGGTGTGTTTTTAAAAACATTTTCTCTCATAAAATGTAAGCCCAACATATCATTACTATTATTATTAGTGGTTGGTACAGCTAACGTCTGTCTATAAGACACACAGTTAGCCAATAACGTGCCTTCAGCTAGCCACTGCTGCGTCGACCAATCACGTCTTGTCGCATGTACACGTACTCAGTCGATAGCGTGCCTTCAGCTAGCAACTGCTGCGTCGACCAATCACGTCTTGTCACATGTACACGTACTCAGTCGATAGCGTGCCTTCAGCTAGCAACTGCTACGTCGACCAATCACGTCTTGTCACGTACACGTAGTCAGTCGATAGCATTCCTTCAGCTAGCAACTGATGCGTCGATCAATCACGTCTTGTCACGTGTACACGTTGTCAGTCGATATTGTGCCTTCAGCTGTCCACTAATTCCGTTAACGTTTCTAAAATTACCAAAAACACTTATCTGCTCAACAAGACACTAGTTCCACTATAGCTGTTAGTAGATTAGCAGAACTGTGCCCACCGCTAATTATTATTAATAGTCACTATTAGTAGGCCTGCTTTGATCAAATTTGATCATATTTGTAGTATTTAGATTTAGACTTTTATTTTGAAGGTAAAGACACTAAACTTCCGTTCGGTCCTCTCTTTTTTGGGCATTGACAGCAATAAATCATGGGATGGTCCTGTTGTTGACTAGCGGGGAAAACTGGTGTTATGGAGGAACCTGGCTGAAGAAATTAGGTTTTAAATAAACAAGTCACTGTTTACAGGAAACTGTGAGAGCATCCATTTTATGTTATTTTTTACCATAAATGTCTTTAATGCTTTACAGTGCAATGGTGAACACAAAGAACCAGTTCAAGCTGAGTCACAGTGAAATGTCTCATTTTTAAGATACGCCACATCTTTAAATGAACATCAACAGCTGATTCTGTAGATGGATGGATGGATGATTCTGTCAAGGTGAACTCTACCGCCCCCTTTTGGCCTCTGGGGGTTTTAGGTTTTGCTCATGTCGGTTAATTCTAGAATTATGGGTCAGAAATTAAGTGACTTTTTAAAAAGGATCTCTGAAAAGTAAACTAATAAATTCACTATAACAACAGAGCTGTGACGTCATACAATCCAGAAAACAACATTCAAATCTTTCAGTTCACTTTTGCTTTTATCCATCCATCCATTATCTTTTACCCGCTTCTTCCATTTTGGGTCACGGGGGTCGCCGGTGCCCATGTCCAGCAATCACTGGGTCGGGGTACACCCTGGACTGATCTCCAGTCCATCACAGGGACACATAGAGACAAACAACCATTCACTCTCTCACTCACACCTAGGGACAATTTAGAGTTACCAATCAGCCTAACATACATGTTTTTGATCTGTGGGAGGAAACCGGAGCACCCGGAAAGAACCCACGCTGCACAGAGAGAAGATGTAAACTCCACCCAGAAAGGCCCCTCGGCTGGGATTTGAACTGGGAGAGGCAGCAGCTCTACCACCTGAGCCACCGTGCTGCCCATGAAATGATATGACATGTGATGGATGGATGGATGGATGATATATTATGATATACGATATGTAATTTACTACTACCGGTATATAATGCATGATAATATGATACACAATTATACAAAGAAAAGTGATAAAATGTGATTCAGTATAATACGATATGTGATGATATGATGTAAAACTGTGATATGATTCAGTACATCACAGTTTGATGTACTACAAATCAAAAAGTTTTACTGCCGCGTTGATGATATTTGTTTTGGACTCAATACCGTTTTTAATAACTGCCGTCGCTAAATAATTCAATAATCTAAACATTACCAACGAGTCAGCAGTAAATCATCCGTTTTGTCAGGAATTTGTACAGCTGAGCCAACGCAACAGGATGTCAGATCAAAGAGTTTTCTATGTTCACACTTTCTTTTGGTAAGCTTTATAAAAATAAAAAAAAAAACGTCTAAAGTAAAAGCAAAGTTTGAGCTGAGGTCAAATTTTACAAACTGCACAACAGGATGTTACTAAAACAGACGTGAGGGGAAGTTCTGCTTGAACCCAAAAGCTGCGAGTTACTGATATTTCTCTTTTTATATACAACCCTCGGTTTTTATTACAGTTAAGACGATTATAACATTTAATGTTTAGTCTTTACACTTTGGTTGACGTGGTTTTTTGATGGAAGTAATTCTTGTCCAACTTTTCCGTACGAGAATGTAAAAAGCCAACGTTTGAAGGTTTTATGAGCAGTGAAAGTTTGTTGCACACTTGATCAAAGATTGTGCCACGCCATGTGAAAGAGTCGCTGATCGAGTGGTTTCATCAGTCTGTCAGTTTTTCTGTAGCTGCTCTTCTTACTTCCTCATTCACGTGGCAGAACGTTTCCTCTTTTCGTAGCTCGCGGTCTTCTGCTTCAACACTCCGGATGACTTGCTCCTGCTCAGCTCAACAAACGGCTCTTTATAAAGAAATGTGACCGTTGGCGTCACCGGGATCAGGTCGTGGTCACTTTTAAAGGCTTGGAGACGATTTTGGATCATCAGGACTCAGGTGAGTGTCCAAAGAACACAGCTGCACCGTTTGTCGTTTGATAACTCACCGTCTTGCAATGGTTGTGTCCAACTCTGGTACTTACAGCTCTGATGTGGCCCTTTGAGTTGAGGACGACGGTCATTGGCGTCTCTCTGTAGAGTACTGCTCTGTGTGATGTCGGGGGACAGCAGAACCCTGCTCTGGCAGAGAGTGTCGCCCACCGGCCAGTCGGATCCTCCCAACAAGTCCCCCACGATGATAGCGAGCAGGGATAACACCCTGCAAGGGAAGATCATCAAAGTGTGTTTCCTTAGCAACAGCGCCAACCTGGGCAAGAACTTCAAACTGGTCCGGTGTGAAGAGGGCTGGACCGTCAAGGTGCTCATACCTGTCTTATTCACTAACTGTACCTTTATCACATCGTCTGACCACAGTTACAGGAGACAGAGACATGGACAAAAAGGCAGGAGACAGAACTGGAAGTGTCAGAAATTAAGATGTTGAGGTTCTCCTTAGGAGTGACAAGGATGGATAAGATCAGGAATGAGATCATCAGAGGTACAGCACAGGTTGACCAACTGGGAGATAAAGTTAGAGAGGACACACTGAGATGGTTTGGACATGTCCAGAGGAGGGACAGTGGTTTGGACATGTCCAG